CTCTTGGCTTTCAGTAAGCAAGGTTGTATTATCTTCATATCACAGGTCGTTAATGAGTCTTCCTCCAACCCGGATGCCATGTTTTTCATCATATGCTCCAGCTTCTTGGATTATTTGCTCAGTGTACAGATTGAATAAGTATGGTAAAAGAATAGAATCCTGGCACACACCTTACCTGATTTTAAGCAATTTAGTATTTTCTTTTTCTACTCAAATGACTCCCTGCCTGTTCATGCTCTTCCTGAGCACAATAAAGTGTTCTGGAATACCCATTATTCATAATGTTAGTCATAGTTTGTCATGATCCACACAGTTGAAAGCTTTGAATAGTTAATAAAGCACAAGTAAACATCTTTCTGGTATTCTCTAATTTCAGCCAAGATGCATCTAACTTCAGTAGTGATATTTCCCTTATTCCATATTCTCTTCTGAATCTGGCTGGAATTTCTGGCAGTTCCCTGTTGATATACTATTAGAGCCATTTTCTAATTATGTTCAGCAAAATTTTAATTGCATGTGATATTAATGATATTGTCCTATGATTTACGCATTCTGTTGGGTCACCTATCTTTGAAATGGGCACAAATATTGATCTCTTTAGTTGGCCAGGTAACAGTCTTCCAAATTTCTTGGCGTAGATGAGTGAGTGCCTCTGGTGCTACATCAGTTTGTTGAAAGATTTCCATTTGCATTCATTCTATCAATTCCAGGAGACTTGTTCTTTGCTAGTTGCTTTAGTACAGCGTAGACATCCTCCAGTACCATTTGCTCTTGATCATATACTATCTTTTGAAATGGTTGAAAATAATGTGATGATTATTAAAGATATAAAATTATTTGACCATCTTTAAAGTTGTATGAAATGATTCAGGTAAAAAGAACCTGCCAGTAATAAAGAAGTAAGATCAGACCATGCACCTGCTAAAAACCTTTCAAAGATACCCTAGTCCACTCAGCATCAAAGCCAATGTTGTTACCATTATCTACAAGGATCATGGTGATCTGTTCCACATCAGAGCCCTACATTGCCCTTACTTCTCTGATTTCATTGTCTACCACTTTCTCCTCCACTCATTGTTCGCCAGCCGTACAGTCCTCACTGATATACTTCATACTATGTCTCATTTTAGGATCTCTGAACTAGCTACTCTCTTTGTCTGAAAAGTTTTTCTGACAGATAACCATAGACAACCTTCTTCATGACACTTCTTAATGGAACTTATCCTGGCCATCATACTTAAAAATTGAACCTGCTACAAATTCCTGCACTTCTGATTTTCCTATGCCGCTGTAACTCTCTTTTTCATACCCACTGCCATTGAGTCCATACCAACTCATAGCGACCATGTGTAGGGTTTCTGAGGCTGCAAATCTTTGCAGGAGCAGAAACCCTCATTTCTTTCCTGTGGAGTGGTTGGTGAATTTCAACTGCTGACTCTGTGATTATCCTATAGTGCCGCCAAGGCTGTTGTTGTTGTTGCTAAGTGCCATATGTGAGTTTAAATGTGACTACCTTGAACTTACCAGCCTAGTGCTTATCTGAAAGCACCATAACAGGACTCATGTTGTTGTTGTTAAGTACCATTGAGTCGGTTCTGACTCATAGCAACCCTGTAAGGATTTTCTGAGAAGCAGTTGGTGTACTTAAAGCACCAACCTTGCAGTTCAAACCAACTTTGCAGTCCAGCTCATTTATCCACAGAACCATACCAGGATTCCAACAGAACCCATAAAACTTACCAATTCCTACATTTATGTCTTTGTAGTCCTGGTATGGCACTGTGGGTTAATGTGCCAGACTGCAAAGTTGTTTGAATTGCAAGGTCGGGGGTTCAAGCTCACCAGAAACTCCTCAGAAACCCTATACAGAATTGCTATGGGTTGGAACTGACTTGACAGCACTTAACAATAACAACAACATATTTATGTCTTTAGTATATTTATTTATTACCTGCTCCTGTCACTAGGATATAAATAGCTAACATCAGTACTTTTTGCTTGTTTTTGTATATTTTATCTACTGAGGTATTCTAAGTTTCTAAAATAATAAGTTTTTGTAAAAATAATGAATTTAATATACAAAAAGAGATGGGCTACTGGAAAGATGATTTCCTAAGAAATGGGACTGGTTTAGAAAGATGAAAAGCAGGAATGAGAAAAGATGTCTTGGATAGACATGAATGATTTGGTATTGGGACCTTTAATAAATTCCTATTTGATAGTGTATCTATCTATCTATCTATCTATCTATCTATCTATCTATCTATCTATATCTATCTATCTATCATCTATCTATCTATCTATCTATATATATATATATAAAATTATACATATATATATGTATTATATATAATTAGAGGTAAAGCTGTCTACTAGGATTTGGGGATGAAGTGAACTATAAGACTAGAGATTGGAGGTGAGCATCTTAGGGAGAAGCGTAGAGTGAATTGACTGAGAACACACTGTAAGATAGCTAGCCACGTAGTTGAGCACTAGCACCATAGATTTATGGTAGGATTATTCTGTCCTCTTGTGGGAGTTTTATTCAGTATGGCTCAGCTTTCCACATAAAGAAGAGAAGAAAGTTCCATTGATTTATTTGAAGGTGGCCTCCACAGGCAGTGTTAGATTCTTCCTCCAATGGTCTACCTGAGTATGTATCAGCATTGTGGCTCTAACATATTGCATTGTTTAGGAGTAAGTATAATGGCTTGCTTTTTCCTTAGAACTGTGAAATTAGATCTGACTTTTAATCTTCATGTTTTCAGTATCCAGTATAGCGTCAGGCTTCAAATAAGTACTAAATAGATCATCATAACTCATTCATGATTTTTTGTGTGAAGGGTTTTAAAAGTTCATGGGAAAAAGGAAATTTAAAGTTACTGGATTTTTTCCCACTTTTTGAAGACCTCTTTCATCTTTTAGTATTATAATATAGTCCTTTGTGCACTCACAAGGGAATAGAAGTCGAGACAATCTGAAGTTTAAATGTTAGCAGACAAAATCAGATAAAATCCAATTCTGGTCCCACTGGTTTATAGTTTTCCCGGTGCTTAAGTACATTCTTTGAATATTGCAGTGCTCCATCTCTTGTTACTCTTATGTTTTCCAAGATCAGGCTTGTGATATACCTTAACATATAAAAATTCCTTCAGAACCTTGTTCTGAAACTGTTCAGATTAAGACTATATTCTTCAATACTGTCTCACACTCCTTGGGCAAAAATTACCCTCCCTTAGAGATTTAAATTAATTAAAGAATTGTTCTTAGGGAGAAAGAAGCCAAATTTTAGTCTAATTAATTATTGTGACTTTCCCAATATGTACAATCCACCACTTTATTGAAAATCTGGGTGGTTAGTCACAAAGTACAAATATATAAATGAAAAATAATTATTAAACATATATGAAACCCATATCTTATTCTTCTTTTCAGTTGCCTAAATTCTGCCTTTCCCTTTCCAGTCCATCTCTCCTTGAGAAATATGTTTCTCTTTTTAATTTTATTTATATAATCCTCAGACACCTTGATCCACTGCCATCGAGTTGATGCTGACTCATAGTGACCCCATAAGACAGCTTTCCAAGATCACAAATTGTTACACGACCAAACAACCTCATCTTTCTCCCACAGAATGGTTGGTGGGTTTGAACTGCCAATCTGTGGTTCATGGCCCAGCATTTAACCCAGTGTGCTAACTGTACTCCTTTATGATAATGTATAGCTCTATTTTTCTTTCTTTTACTACTATCTCTGAAGAATGTGCTTTTAAATTTGAATCCTTGCTGTTAGATTATATTGTGCCCTGTGAAGTCCAGAACCCTTCTGAGTTGGTAGGATTCCCTCTCCCAAGGGAACTCCCTCCATACTTGCAACTTGTCTTTAAGCATTGTCCAAAAACTGAGGAATTTCAGGGTCAAGAAGTGAGAGAATAAGTAAAAATTTTCATTCTATATTAGAAAAAGTTTGAGCCAGTCTTTAAAGAGGGCTGGAGGGTTTGAACTGCTGACCTTGTGGTTAACAGTCCAGTGATTAGACTACAGCATCACCAGAGCTTTGAAGAGGGCATAGATGGATCAAGTTCATAAATTAATTTAGAATCAAAAGTGAACTGTTTGTATCTGTCATTAGAAGCCATCTAATGAAGCAATATATGCTTAAACAACCTAGAAGAGTCATTATTTTTTAAGTCATGACTTTAAAAATAGGCAGAGCATTATTAGCCTCCCTCTCTAGAAACTTCAAATGACATTTAAAATAGCTGAGTAGCAGGATCAAGTCAATGGTTATCCTGATTAGGAGGATTCTTTCCTTTCTTTCCAGTAAATATTCTTTTATTTTCTCTAGGTTTTGAACTTCTCTGATTCTCTGACCTGCATCCTGGACCTTCCATGAGCACTGATGCCAGCCTTCACACACTCCTGCCTTATTATTGTTGTTATTCAACTCAGAATGATCCTGTATAGGGTTTCTGAGGTACGACTGGTGGTTTGAACCGACTTTGGTTCAAACCGACTTTGTTACAGTGCTTATCCTATAGCTCCACACCAGGACACTTCCTTCCTAAGTCTGGGAATATACAAACATATGTAGTAGTTAGTACTACTAGTACTAACTAAAGATGACTTACAAAGAACAAATATGTAGAGTAAGATGACAGACACAGAAAGTATTTCCTACTAGTACTAACTAAAGACCTATCCCTGAGTCAGATCCAAAGGCTTGAATATTGAATCTGATCTCATGATTCTGATTTGAGATTTTTAACTTTGTTTTTGTGGTAGAATTTTTTCAGGTCCTGTTTTGATCTCCTTTCTTCTGCAAAGGATATCATGACCATTCTTAACTCCTAAATCATGTTCTAACATTAGATCATGGCATTAGGAGTAAGTTTAATGATAAAGTCTCCGTAGCCTGAAGGACCCTTGCTGCTAACTTGGATAACACTCTACAATTTACTATTAGAATTCTTAAATCCCTTATATTTTGATGCACTAACCATGTGGCAGGAAAACATTACCAATATTAGTGAGTTCATCCTGGTAGGCTTCCCTACGGCCCCTTGGCTGCAGATTCTGCTCTTCCTCCTCTTCCTCATTACCTACCTATTTGTGCTGTTGGAGAATTTGGTCATCATCCTTACTGTATGGATCACTGGGGCCCTGCACAAACCTATGTACTACTTTCTGAGCACCATGTCCTTTCTGGAGGCCTGGTATATAACTGTCACTGTCCCCAAGATGCTGGCTGGATTTCTACTTCACCCTAATACCATCTCCTTCCTTGGCTGCATGATCCAGCTCTATTTCTTTATATCACTTGCCTGTACTGAGTGTGTGCTTTTGGCTGCCATGGCCTATGACCGCTATGTGGCCATATGTTGGCCTCTTCGCTATCCAGTCATGATGACCACAGTGTTTTGTGTTCAGCTGACAATCGGTTCCTGGGTGAGTGGCTTCACCATCTCCATGGCAAAGGTATATTTCATAGCCCAAGTTGTTTTCTGTGATAACAATATCTTGAACCATTTTTTCTGTGATGTGTCTCCCATTCTCAAACTGGCCTGCATGGACTTCACTATGGCTGAGATGGTAGACTTTGTACTAGCCATCGTTATCCTTGTGTTTCCTCTGTCAGCCACTGTCCTCTCCTATGCTTTCATTGTCTCTACCATCCTGCACATACCCTCAGCCACTGGACAACGGAAGGCCTTCTCTACTTGTGCTTCTCACCTCACTGTGGTGGTCATCTTCTACACAGCTGTGATCTTCATGTATGTCCGACCCCGAGCCATCGCCTCATTCAACTCCAACAAACTGATCTCAGCCATATATGCAGTCTTTACCCCCATGCTCAACCCTATCATCTACTGTCTTAGGAATAAGGAGGTCAAGGATGCCATCCGAAAGACCATGTCAAGTGGCCGAGCTATTTTCGTGAGAGATTCTCTTCACTGAAGAGACCCAGATGTTTCTTTTTCTTTCATTATTACTTACTTTACCCAAAACAAAAACTTGATTCAGGGAAAGTCTGCAATTATTAACATATGGATTTAGTAGAATGATTTAGGGTCAGAGTGTGAAGAAAATTTGATTTTCTGTCAGGTCTTAATCAAATACTTCCTCTTATAAGACAGAGAGGAAAATAACCACAACTCTAAGAAATAGACATTAGTCTATTAGTCACAAAATAATTTTGTTTTTTATTTAGATGATGTTAAGAAGGAATAACTAGTTATTATTAAACTCATTTTTAGAGTTCTGTTGGTGAATTCTTTTTGTTGTTGTTGTTGTTATTGACTTTTATTTGTGTGTGTTTTTGTTTGTTTTTTTTTTAAATTATCTCAAGGAACCTGCATGGCACATTTGTGCTTCATGACTAACCTAGCAATGGGTTATTTGGACTGACCCAGCAATGCCATGGAAGAAAGACTTAGTGAACTGCTCCCATAAAGATAGGTGGTGGTGGCTGTGTGCCGTGGAGTCGGTTCCGACCCACAGCAGTCCTGTACAGGGTTTCCGAGGCTGTAAATCTTTATGGGAACAGAAAGCTTCATCTTTCTTCCGTGGAACATCTGGCAGTTTTGAACTGCTGACCTTGCAGTTTGCAGCCCGATTCGTAACCACTACACTATCAGAGAAAATTCCGTAGGACAGTTTGATTCTGTAACACATGGACTTACCCAGGAGTCAGTATGGACTCAGCAAGCAATGGTTTTGGGTTTGTTGGGTTTTCTCTGTTAACACTGGTTCACAAACAGAGACTTCCAGATTATGAAAACAGAGAGGTTCATAATTTCCAAATGTGGGAGGGAACTAGTTCCTTTTACTATTAGTTGACTTCAATGATAACTCATTTTAGTTATTTTGTTAAATTTTGTAAAAAGAGAGGCAAATTCCTTCAGTCTCTAATAGAAACACTGTAGAAAGCACACATAATTTTTCATGTTTCTCATGGCAGAGTGAAAAAGAGATTATGATAAAGAGATTATACATAATTTCATTCTTTAGTTTCCTTCCTTTGTTGGACCATTTGCAAAAAAATTTTGAAGGAAATTAATGATTGACAACCAGACCTAAGAAAAAACTAGTGGCAGTTTATTTAATCCACTGCTTCTTAGATAAAAGATGCGTTGGCATTGGCAAAAGACTCTGACCTTTTGGTTGGCCAATACTTGGTCTAGATGTTAAGAATTTCCCCATATCATTCCCTTCTCATTTCTTTTTCTTTTGATTTGGAAAAGTAGATACAGTGCTGTAAGGATTAAGTACAGCACATATGTTTTCATTTAAGCATTATAAAATGATAGAAGAAAGGTGGATTCTGTGTGACTAGAAAACAATATTGGAGGAGTGAAATAATGAAATATAATCTCACAAGAGTTTGAGGATAACAGACATATTAATTTACATCGACACTTTGAAAGCCACCTTTCACACATATTACTTGGTCTATTGATTTATATGACACATTTGCTTTGTTTTCATTTTCTTTACCTTCTAACTCTATGTTGTTGTTAAGTGTCTCAGAGTTGATTCTGATCCATAGTGACCCTGTATAGGGTGTCTAAGGAGCAACTGATGAGCTTGAACCATGGATCTTGCAGTTCAAAGTGATTTTGCAGTCCAGAGCATTAACCTGCAGTACCACACTAGGACTTAACATAGTTTTATATAATGCCAGATAAGGTTATTTTACGTTCGTTTTATGTAGAGTAAGATGATTTACAAACTGTGTAGTTCCCGGTTTATCTCAACCTGTTAGATATTCATGGCCTTCATTAGTTTTAGCCTAAACACTATATATTCTCTATGATATATTTGTATTTTATTTTTTTAGTCAAGAGTAGTGTTACATACAAGAACAAGCAAGCTGTTCACCAGAGAACCAGCAAAGCAAACAATCAAGTCTCTTTAGGACAAACCCCCCTCCAAGATCGAAATTCAAAGGGAACACACAAGCAAGCATGTAAGCTCTCTGGTGACTGCATTGGTCTACGTGTAAGTGGAAGTAGGGGAAAGTCAGTAATGAAGATATGGGCTGAGTTTGACCATGTTCGAACGTCAATTCTTGTTAACCTTGAAATGAGACAGAAGGGCTGGTTAGTCCAAAGTTTGAGGAAACCTGGGAACTTTTGAGTCCATGGACATTGACCTAGTCACAGGGCTAGAGCTGAGAGTGAAGCAATTAGCTGATATGAAGTTGGGGGAGACACACAAGAATGCCCAAACTTGCAGATAGTACCCTTTTGATCTAGCTTGATGGCTTGATGACCAGAGCTTGATTAGAGGAAGATAAAGAAATTTGATAAATCAACCAAGTATAATTTGCTACAGTTTGATGCACTTGACATATATTTATGGTTGTAGTAGCTCAAAATACCAACCAACAGGGAAGGAGTCTTCACATTAAGGGTCAATTCGATCTCCTCAGTATACAGGATTGAAGGAGACGGGAAATTTAAACTTTGGCTATCTAAACTGGGGAGTTGTTATTGTTGTTAGGTGTCATCAAGTTGGCACCAACTCATAACAACCCTACGCACAGCAGAAAGAAACACTGCCTGATCCTGGGCCAACCTCACAATTGTTGCCAC